TTATTAAAGTTAATTATCTTAAGAATAAAACAATTTTGAAAATCAAATCAAAAACGTCATAATTAAATGGTTCCCCTAATATTATTTAACAAAACATTAAACAAAAATATATTACTTAAGTTAATAAAAATTTCCAGGTATACAATACATTAAACCAGAAAACACCATCTTACAAAAACACTGCTAACATCTAACGGTGCTATTAGATAGCATGGGAATATAATTACAATATTTGACCACAATAATAATGTGCATCAAGCACAATTGTATATAAAGAATTACATTATAACATTATTATTGTATTATTACTGAATACGCTGTTCATAGATACTGTATATATAAAACTACATATTACCACATAGATATATTAGCATTTACTCTAAATTTTGTCTACATAGATAAATGACCTACTAAATTTTTCAATATATTTTAGTTTTAATAATTAATTATATTTAAATTCTACCTTGAACTTTATTGCTTAAATACTCGTTAGGTGTGTCTATACTGTATGTCATACAATATATTTCACAATTAGTTATATTTCCAAACATTATCGTATTATAATTAAATTAATTACCGTGTAATTTCAATAACTTTTCTAAACTCTAGTTAGAAAATTAATCAATAAATAACACAGTAATATTTTTACCTATTTTAATTTATACTAAATGCAAACAAATATTTCATATTAATCAGGAATGTTTGTGAACTGTAAGAAGTATTTAAATTCACATTTCATTCATACTGTACTAGGGTTGGCAATATACACATTTTGTATTATACAATTGTATAATACAAAAGTTTGTGATTAAAATGATATTACATGTATAATTAATAAGATAAATTCATTAAAATGGCTTAATTTGTGTTTTTAAAACATGTTAATTTTGTCCCCATAGTAAGTAAAAATACTTGTATAATACAAAGCTCCAAAATGTTGTTGTATTTGTCCCACCCTTAACTGTACTGTATGTGGAGTGCATTGTGTGGCAAACATTGGTACAGAGTTCGCACACAAAAACAGTTCAACTCTGACTCTTAAAGTTGTGAACAAATTGATTGCCATTTTAATTGTGATATTTGTGTTGAGTATTGCCAATGGATTTGAGCACCGATTCAGACATCGATGACAGGTATGTGACCATTGGTTGTGACCATCGATTCATTTGTTGAAACAACTGATTTTGTATTGAATAAAGCGGCGATTTGTTGGACGCCATCGACGATCGCTTTATGACCGACCAATCGCTTCCCGACAATGATTATTACAAGAGGTTTGACTCATTGGTGAAACGAGTGGCCGGACGGTTGGGCCCCGACGTCAAGCCAGTGGTCGGCGCTTCCAGTCATACGTAAGACTCAATCCCAATAAAACTGACAGTCATTTTGTGTGTTATTTACTGATTGTTTTGTTTAGTTTAACCACTGATTTAAACAGTGATATAACATGTGATATAAAACCTGATGTCAACGCCATTGCGGACAACTCGGCGCCCGATATTACCGTCAATAGTAGCGCCACAGCATCGGGTGATTGTGTGCCACAAATTGCTGGCCAACCAATGATCACGCAATCAGACACCGATGTGTCCGCTACTGACGAAGAACTCATCGATGTTAAGCCAATCATAACGGATCCGAGTAGACGGTCATTGGCCGCCCCTTTAAGCACTCAAACCGAAGACACAGATAGTGGTGAACCAGTGATGGCTAATATAGCGGCGCCACTGATTGGGAACAATACAGTGAACCATAATAGAGACGAGCAGTCATGTGATGGCACAACACCTATCGGTGCCGTCATTTCACACACCGATAGCCAGACAATTGCCACAACTAATCATAAGTAATAGAAATGTTTTTATTTTATAATTAAAAATTTAATTTGTTTTTTTGTTTTTACTTAAAATAGTGACACAAATAATGTCGAAGAAGTGGTTATTAGCGAAGATAACGGTGTAAACAGTGGTCAAGAGTTTAGCGCACTGGCAGTGGACGTGGCGGACAGTGACTCGACAGTAATAATCTCTGACCACAAGTATGTCATTACAAATACTATTGCATTGTTTTAATGTATGTTTTGTTTATTAATTACATAAATAGTGGCGAAGAAGTGACCAAAGAGTCGGTTCCGGCGGCGATCGGTTTGAAAAGGGGTCGACACTCAGTGGGCGGGCACTTCCGGCGCCGCAACAAACCTTTACGGGAATATCGCGGCGACGCCTCTAACCATTCGGACACTACTGGCTATTGCGGCGCCGATAGTGGCCACTCGTTCGCGTCATTTGACGGTTCGCTGCGAGACGTGTCTAAACGCATGGCATCTAAAACTACTAGTCGTTCAAAGACTGGCCGCCGATCGTCGGCGATGTCCACCATCACAGCGCCGGACACCAGCCGTTCCCGGAGTTTGACGCCACGCGATCGCTACGAAAGCCAGCACTCAGTGCGGCCGCAGAGCCTATTGACTGTACCGCTAGTGTCGCCCTTCCCTGTGCTCTCTGGCCTTTCAACGATCTCAAAGGCTTCTACTCATCGCAGGTATTGTATATATTGTGTGCCATAAACTATGAATCATTTTAACGCTAGCTTTTCCAGCGATACGGACGGGAAATCGCCGGACACGACATCATCGACGCCCACGACCTCTAAGACAACGACCAACGCGTCGGCGCATACCGTGACCTACAGTGAGAAGCGATACAAATGCGACAAATGCTCGCAAACCTACGGCCACGAGCGTCACCTCAAACGGCACCAGAAGTTACAACACGGCGTACGCGAGCCCTACCGGTGCTATGGGGACGGCTGCGACCGCCGGTACCCCACAGAGTTCAGACTGATGGCACATATACGAGACAAACATCGCGACCGTCACTACCGGTGCCGATACGGTCAGTGCGAGAAGTGGTTTCCGTCCGAATTGCTGCTCAACAATCATCGGCTCGCAGTCCACGACGTGTGCTATCCGTACCGTTGCCTTCGCCAGCCGTGCGACGGGAAGAATGGCTACGATGTGTACGATATGCTACGCGAGCACCAGTTGGGCGCACATGACTTATATCGATGCGATTACAAGCGCTGCCACCGGGCGTACGACACGGCCGATAGGCTGCGCGCTCACCGGCGACGGTGTCGACATCGGCCCCACTCCCAGCGCTCGCACTACACGTCGTCGCACAGGTATGTCATCGGATATAATGGGCGCACAAATTGAATGCTTGTCTGTTTGTTGTGATCCGCAATATTAGGTCTATGGATAAGACTTATGGGCGCACTGATTGCCGGGAAAGGTATGACAATCGGGAACAACTGGACGAGCGTATAGACAGTGCCCACAAACCCCGCTCCGGACACACTGTGACTCCCGATAAGCGTCGGTTGGCTGAGAGGGAGAGCGCCCGCAACGGAACAGTCATTGACACCGACGACGAAGAGTTGACCGATTGTCGCACCGCTGGAGACGACGAGACACCGACTGCCGTATCGCACAAATCGGTGGACACATCGGTGGCGGCGCCGCTCGAGACGACCCCCAATGAACCACAAAATGTAAGCATTTAATCAATTATTATACTTATTTTATTTCCATTTTTTGTAATAAAAATAATTTCTTTAAATTTATGTTTATTTAAAGCAAAGAAAATTCAAATGTAATGAAGAAAAATGTGGCAAAATTTTTAAAACAAAATGGTATTTAATTAAACACAAACGCATACATTCGGGAGAAAAACCACTTGTTTGTGATTTTAATGAATGCAACAAAAGTTTTACAACAAAACAGAACTTATTTCTCCACAAAAGTTGTGTTCATTTGAATAAAAGGAAATTTAAATGCAATGAAGAAAATTGTGGCAAAAAATTTACAACAAAACAAAGTTTATTTCGACACAAAAGCATTATCCATTCGGGAGAAAAACCATTTGTTTGTTATTTCAATGAATGCCACAAAAGTTNACCATGTTCGGGGGTTTGCTGGTCATCAATGAGAAATGATATAAAATAATTGTCCAGGGCAAAATAACCAACAATCATTCTATTTTTGTACAAAAAATAATTTTGCATAAAAAGCACACGTTTTATTGTAAAAATTTTAATTTTAAAATAAACCTATTAATACGTCATGACTTCTTTTGGGGACTAATACTATTTTTATATTTTTAATCAAGTTGTATTCTTGTTGATAATGTTTACTAAATATTTGTTAGACATGATACAAACTGTATCATACAATATAAATGATAGCGACATAATATTAATTAAATAATGTAATAATAAAATTCTAATCTGACAATAACCATAATCTTATGAACAAAATAATTTTTTATTGATGTTAAATATTTAATATCAATATAAGTTTATTATAAAGTTATTATAAAATTAAAATAACCAATAAACAAATAATTTATGACATAGAACTCAATGAATTCTTCAATCCTATTGTTTAAATAGTTACTATTTTAATATAGAAATAATTATTTAATCATTTTAATTGCATTTGATTTTAAGTATTTTCTTAATATTGATGTGCAATAAGTCATCCGAAGTGAGTAATAATTTAGTTACCACTTTAAAAATTAATTAATTTCTAAATCTAGAATATTATCAACAAGTGTTGTGTATTGATTGTGGAGTTCAAGTGCCCACACATTGATCCTTATTTTAGAGAAAGAGAGATTTGAAATCATCGATATCTATTGAAATAACACAAAATTTAATACACCGTACAGTATATTGTGTATAAAGAAGTGAAAACACGTACAGTAGTGCACAATAGTAGCGCATACTTTATATTTTTGTGTAAAGTATACAATTCAGTAGTAAATGATGATTTCGGTGTCCAATCTTTACCATCTTTCTTCTCTCTCTCTCTCTCTCTCTCT